TATCAACAGAGTAGTCGCTTTACTCCAAATGCGTATGCAAATGATCAGACTTTGAACAAACTTTTTTTTAGTGGATTAACTTAATTAATACAGACTAATTATTCACCTAAAGAATGGCAATGTACACTAGAAAAATAAATGATTTCACACAGACTTTAACTCCAACTTTAGAGTAAAGCCTGGCTTGTTTTGGAGGTTCGCTTTGGGTGCGTGAGACATGATTTCGGCCGGCGGAGAGCATGATTTTTTTTTTTAGACTCGAGCGAACAGTTTGCGTGGCGCCGCAACTGATTTGAGTTGAGTATGAATCACTTTAAAGAGATTTTGTCTGAAACAGGTATGTCTATACACACATCTTTATCACCCGCATGCGTGATTAGGAAGAACCAGATGACCAGTAATCTTTGGCTAGAAATGGCAACAGCTTTGGGTAAAGAGAAAAGTTATTGTTAAAAAGTTTATAAAAACTTAAGGAATATGTTTGTTAAAACCAAAAAGAGATGCCATGGCAAAAGTGGAGACTCTGGTAGTTTTAATATGTTTTTTCACCATTTATAGCTTTTTCACTGACGTACATATTATAATTTTGAATGTAAAACAATTTAATTGTTACAAAACTAAAATGAAGTCACAAATCATTTCTTTGATAACTGGAAAAGTACATTTCAACCTGCTGGTTTACAACATACTGATACTCTGTTTTTGTAGGCTTTATTGGTGATAATGGTCAGGAATGTTGGACTATTATTGCCTTTTTAGCATTTCCGAAGAGGACAAACTAACCAGAAAGTAAATGTGTGAATTGTTGAGTGGGTGAAATAAAAAAGGCAGTATCTTTTAGTAAGTGTACTTTTTTTTTAATTCTTGCCATCCATCCATCCATCCATCCATCCATCCATCCATCCATCCATCCATCCATACATACATACATACATACATACATACATACATACATACATACATACATACATACATACATACATACATACATACATACATACATACATACATACATACATACATACATACATACATAATTTGTAGAGCAACCCATGTTCTGTTGTTATTAATATTTGAATAAACTTTAAAAGGTAGGACTGTCCGAGATATAAACAAAAGAAAGGGGTGCATCAGCGTTTGATTTTAAAAAATCTTGAATTGTTATAAAAATCTTCATAAACATTAAAATAATTTAAAAAATAATTAGTTAAAAAATCTTGAACGATGTCAATGATATGACGTAGTTCCGGAAACCTTCTACTTCAAGTATAAAAGCCTTGTCCGTTTCCTGAGGATGTGCCCGCACTCAGCGGAGGTGTGCGATGTGGTGCCAGTCGAAAATTTTTTGATGATTAAAAATCGGCTTAGAATTACAGTTTTTCTGTCCATTTTGCCTTTGAACGATAAGTATTAAGGCTGATTTATACTTCTGCGTCGAGTGATCGGAGTGACCCATGGTGCCTGTCTTGCACAATAATACGTCTGCATGCTGTTTGTGTTGCTCTGCAATAACACTTCCAAAATGCTAGCTGGCAGTGAGGTTTGTATGTTCCTCTGTGTCGAGTTTCTTCACGGCTGTTTTGTTTTGTCCAAACGCTACAAGTAGCTCAAACTCGCTCATTCAGAGGCAGGAACCGACAGACGTGCACCAACTGCTGGCAGTGTGAACAGAACTTCACGAGTAAACGTAACTATTTTACGTTTTGTCAGTTTAGTGGTAATTTGTTAGAATTTATATAAGCTGTATGAAAACTGAATTGTATGAAAGAGATCATATGAATTCGCCACTAATTCTAAAAGTTATGAATTGCCATGAGATAGTGTTGGATGGTTTGATGGAGGCCAGTAATTTCACAAAAATTAAGTCAAACCATTCCGTTTTTGCTTTTTACAGTCTAATTTACATAAAAATAACTAATTATGCTGAATGTATGTTGCACATTTTCTTTTTTTTTTTTGCCTCTAATAAAAAGAACGAAAGAGTGCAGGCAAAGCTGACTTTGCTAATATGAACAAGTCGACTTTGTTTTTGAAATGTCTCTGATTTGGAGGTTGTTTTAAAAAATATTTAGTTTTGCAACTATTTCAATTTCATAATTAAATCAGCAGAAATAGCCTAAGGATAAGACACCTTTCCTGTATAGTGTCTTCAACCTCATTTTAGTTAAAAAAAAAAAAAAAAAAAAAGCGAGATAGAATTGTGAAATCAAGGTCATAAACTAAATCGAATTATTACATCCCTAATTTAGAGGGGGAATAGAAACGTTTGACTTTCTCTTGGATTTCTGTATGGGAAAAGGTTAGCATTTTGGAATATGAGCTCAGAATGTACTTTATAGTTTTATTTCTATTATTTATTTACATTTTCATTAAATTTTTGGATTAAATATGGCCTATTGTTTGCCATACATAAAAATAATGAGCAACAACATGTCAGCCAATTTCAGCATCAAGTTCTGATAAAACCCTCAATACACAGAACCCATCCTCAATAAGATGACATTTGCTTTTTGTTCAAACTTCTTATTAAAATTGATCTGAAACAGCACAAATCTTGAGTCCTTTGCAGAAACAAAGTAATTGTTCCATGTACTTTAATTTGTAAAAAAAAAAACAAAAAAAACTAAGTTAACTTAATTCCTTCATGTCGTCCTGACACAAATCAATTGTGAGGAAGATTTTTTACAGTGCATAAAGCAACAACTACAGCAGGATTTCTGCAGAATTAAATTTTAAAAAGTTAACTTTAAATCATTTTGAGGACTATTATGTATGAAATTTTTGACTTAACAGGACTAAAAAAGATTTTTTCAAATATCCCAGTTAGAAAGGATTTTCTCTTGCCCTATCAAAAATTGATTATAATTCAATACATTTATTAATACAATAATAATCATTTAATAATATTAAATCTAGGTCAGGTCAGTATCCTCAACAGTAAATAAATGGAGAACTTTTAAACAAATGTAACTTTAAGGAAACCTTTTTTTTTTTTTTTTTATAAAAAGTTAAGTTCATGAGATTGGTTTGTTGTGGATTTTATGGGTGTTAGTGACCAGATTGGATAGCTATACATGGACAAAGGAAAATGAAGACCTGTTAAAAAAGATGTAGGACCTACAACACAATATTTCAGTAGATTTAAGACTTTTTTAAGGCCTTAAATTTATCTTTTGAGATTTGAGACTTTTTAAGACTCTGCTGATACCCTGTACAGTGAGCAAATGCTAAAGATGCTAGCAGACTGTCAGCTAGAAGTGAGCGGGAACAGGGTGAAAGTGAGTAACATGTAGTAAGTTTCTGGGACACAAGGTGTGTTTGAAGCCTTTCATGACGGGACAGCAGAAGAGAGACAGCTGGCGCTCAGGCTGAGGCCGTTTATTTACCTCCAGCGGCAGCAAGAGAAAGCGCTCCACAAAAGAGGAGCATGAATGGCCTCTCACTGGGGAAGCCTTCCTAAACTTCTTTATGCAAGAGAGCCATTTAAGCACGCCACTTTTTTGTTTGTTTCACATAGCAGCAGAAGAAGGCTTTGGGGACGTATAATCGAGCACATGACCTTACACACTACAGCTGACGGCAGTAGAGAGAAAGAAAACAAGACACTAAATAACAGTCTGTCAGTTGTGAACAGGAAAAGAGCATTACTTGGGTTTGGCTGGCTGAAATACTCAAGTGTGCAACAATTACACAACATAAATCTATTGTGATCAAAATGTAGTTCGTTTTATTTTTATTTTTTTATTTTTTTTGTGCTACTTGATGGTAAAGTCAGAGAGTCTTTGTTTTTACGCTGAATTCATTGTTATTATTTGATTTCTTATCTCCAAAGAAAATAGAACAATTGTCTAAACTTTTATTTTTTTAACCTTTGTTTGTAAGAATAAAAAAGAAAAGCCATACAATTACAGTATTGAGTTACTCCACGAAAAAGTCACTAGTTGCACTACTTTTTTTTGTAAGTAACACGTTACATTTCTTTACAGTTACTTTTGTGTTACTTTTTATTACCTGGCTGAGGCTAGATCTCTTTCAGAGCTAATTTTTCATTCTTTTTTTTTATAGAGTTCTACTACACACTACACCTTCATTTACCTTTAATAAACACATTAAACAAAATGATTTAGGATAATGTTATCTGAGAACTTTCTGAACCCAGAGCTATACATGCTGTATGTGCAGCAGATTATTTAATGTTTAAGGCAATGTGTTTGCTAGTTGCACTATTTGTAAAATCATGTCCATTGAGACAATCCCCTACAATTTTCTTCAATGCGTTCAAAATAATAAACACATTCTCTCATTGACTGTGTGATTCATTGTGACTACTAATTTTAGTTCAGCAATTTATTTTCTAAAAGCTAATTAATTAAACTAAAAAATAACTCGAGTTACGTTTACGTTTATTTTTTTAAGTAATGCATTTCTTAACTCGTTACTTAGAAATAAAATTTTATTAAGTAACTCACGTTAATTGTAATGCGTTACCAAACAACACTGTACATGTATACACATACACTTTTGTATATTTCTATGATGTGCATATATACACTTTATATTTATTTATTTAATATTTTGTATCCTTTATTTAGATTAAAATACAGAAAAGCTGTAGCAACAAGTAAAATCTGAGTAACAAAATATACTCAACTAAAAATTAAATGTATATACACTTTTATACAAGTATATAATGTATGTATATATATATATATATATATATATATATATATATATATATATATATATACATACAGTACATTACAGACAATTTACAATTTAGCGTACCCAATTCACCTGTACCGCAAGTCTTTGATATATATATAATATAATAAATAAAAAATATATAAATATATAATAAAAAGTCAAGTGAAAAAAACAATCTATAAAATGTTTACCCTGATTTCAGAAACAACAGTCAACTTTGCCAAATGTAGACCCAGAATACAGAAAACAGTCAAAACTTCCAGATGCAAACTAAGAATTAAAGAAATAATGCAAGATTTAATCCTCCATTTATTTGAAGATTTGCAAATTCATCTGGATATTGAGCATTTGATGACAAAAACACGCTCTACACAACACAACTGTACCAAAGACTGTACCAGTAAAGACTAACTTAAGTGCAAGAAGCTTGTACAAGATCATACAAAGGAAACTTTTATGAAAGCATGTTATTGTATTAAGCTTTCATCTGACTGATGAAGACTGCCCTCTACTGGTGAAATCAAGAATCTGTTTGTTGTCATTGAACTAGCAAACCCAAAAGTTGTTTCTTCAGCAACCACTCACATCATTCCATACGATTTTCTTTATTTCTCAATTAATGAATCAGATCTTTTATTATTAAATTATGGCTTTTAAAGATAACCGTGCATACTAACAGTCCCAAATTTTGAGAAATAAATTACATTTAGAATAAAAATGCAGGACAAAACTAATTTAAACATTTTTAATATCTTATTCGCCAAAGAGGTATAAAAGTGGCCAAAATAAGTTACGTGACCTGATGTTGTATCGTATTAAAATATTAGGTTATGAAATGTCATGTTAGTGAAAATATATTTCCATGATTGTTACAATAATCCAGTCTGCTCTTGAGGTAGAATTTATGACAATCAATATATTTCCAAATCCATCTGGTGGAGCGAAATATTTAGAGGAATTATGAAACAGTCTCACCAAAATATGACTCGAAACCGCATTATATGAAAAACAAATGTTGTAAACATGTCGAATATAGGTTCATCTAACTCACATTCACATATAAAAGTTCATTTCTCTTCTTCTCCATCCTACAGTTTCTGAACAACAACCTGGAACTTGCCTATAAAGAGAGAGAGAGACAGAAAGAGAGAGGGGGAAAAAAGCTTTAAAAACATTTAACCAGTGTATTGGCTTGCCATTTAAAGTATCGCTCACATATTTTTGACATAATATAGCCAAAAAAATTTACAATTGTACTTGTTTATCAATTTACTATATACATGTGTTGTATATAGTAAAGTCATATTAATTAAATGTAAAAAATACACATTTTCCAGGCGCACAAAGTTGAAAGCATCCTAACTTTTCAAAATGCTGCGAGTGCACTGCGAGTCATGTGAACCATCAAGAACCATCCAATCAGCTTCACACTTTGTATGGAATATACACATTTCAGTAATAAAGGTAGAATAATTCCCTCAGATAAAGGCAGAGCACCCAAACACTGCAGTGCTTTTTTATGTCCTACATAAAGCTTGTATTAGAGATGCTGCAAGAGTTTGTCATCCTCTAAGAAAATAATTGTTGGTTGCCTAGCAAAAGCAGACAGATGAAAGTGCAAATTGCTCTAAAATTGGTGAAGGAACCGACTTTTACTGTGCGTTAACACCGAAGCAGAGCATCACAGTTCACCCTGGCGGCCTTGGTGGCAACACTGTCTGCCCTAACAGCTCTGGCAGCAAGAGCGTCAAAATTTGTTACATTGATCTCGTATTTAAAGGGCTGTTGCAGCATATCAGCAAATCCCTTACATCCTCACATAGAAACATACTTTCTAGTGTTGTGGGCCTTTTATCAAATTTATTTAACTATAGAAGATCAAGCTGTTCCATGTGGTGTGGCTTTGCTCCACTTATTTTATGTGCCTGAAACAGCAATATTGTTTTGTACAGTCATTATAGTTAGCACATAAACATATATACCATTAATGCACATCAGTAACTCGCCAATAACCTTTTAAGTTATGTCCCTGTAAGAAAACATCATAAATAACTGGAAATCCAGCAACCTCAATATTCATCCCTTGTGATCGGAACCAAAGTTTACAGAACTGTGTTCTCTGGAATCTTTTCAAGTGTTGGATACCTACATTCTGATTGCTTGCCGCCAAACCACGTCATAGCTCATTGCTATAGACCTTTGTTGCTGCATGGAGGGCGCCATAGTAACCAGCGCCTTCCGGTAGGGTGCTTAGAACTTCCGTTAAGAATTGTCTTTAGCCAGAGCAGTATTTCTCAACTGGGTGTCAATACTGTTTTATTGGCTTAAAGAGTATTTTTGTAAAGCAAAACTTTAATTTAGACAGAAAGACGTGTATTAAAGCCGTTATACTTTTTGCAGATGCGGTGCAAGTGTGAGAGAAAACCAGTCTCCTAATTCAGTGTCTGCCATCAGATCACATGCTGAAATACAGCATCAGTGTTCCTGTCCTGTCCTGTCTGCTGGCTGATTCACATGTTGATTCTAATCAGGAGCCATTTATTATGCATTTAGTTAGTGTTGTGTTGTGTAGTATTTACCACAGTATGTGTATTTCTGTCATTTCAAAATGCCACTTTATTTTCACTTTGTCCCACATTTTTAATCAATGTGCTATTGGGACAGTACAGGTTACATGTGTGGGTCAAACATTTTGGTTAATTACATTTGTTTGGGTTGGTTATATATTTGAAAGAAAGAGAAAAGTTTGATTTAAGCGATAGCAGGGTTCAATTTACACGGCACAATGCTGTCTGACTACAAGAGTGAAACACCTTGCAGCAGTTGTTTTCCATCCCTTTAGATTGCATTTCTAAAATAATCGGTCCAGGAGGCGGCGCTGATCAACAGCAGTGTTAGTTCAAAGACGTTAAAACCAGGTAAAACAGACTAAGCTGTCCGAATGCATTTATATGCATCAGCTGCCGACCGGAAGTTCTTAGCATCCTCCTTTTGCATACACGCAAAGCATGAATAATTTCGCGTTTTAACAAAAAGGTCTATAAAGTTGACATGATTTTAACTCTTCTCGAGGCCTACACCGGTGACGACACACCACGCCTCTCCACACCACTGGCTTCCATTGAAAATGAATAACTTCCAGCTATGTCCAGCTACACTCTCGCCGCTTTCCGTGTGTACGCTCAGTTAGATGCGTTTTTGAAACAATATGTAAACGGCCACTTAAAACTGACACAAAATCTAATAGGACATGCTTCATTGATAAAGTGCACTCAAAAATGAAAATTTGCAATAATTTACTTAACCTCCACTTGTTTGAAACCTATTAGGGTTTCTATCTTCTGTTGAACACAAAGGAAGATATTCTAAAGAATCTTGGGGAATGAAAACAGTGAATACAAAAAATACTATGAAAGGACTATGTATGTCAATGGCTGCTATTTCCCAACATTCTTCAGAGTATCTTGCTAACAAAAGAAAGAAGTTCATTAAAGTTTAGAACCACTTGTGATTGTGAGTAAATGATGAGAAAATGTACATTTTCGGGAGAATTGGTTAAATACATATTAGCATCATAGATTTGTTCATTATGTTTTGTACTCACAGTTCACTTAAAGGGACAGTTCACCTGAAAATGAACATTTACTCATTACTTACTCACCCTCAAGTGCTTCCAAACCTTATTGAGTGTCTTTATTCTGTTAAACACTAAAGCAGATATTTAGAAGAAAGCTGAAAACCTGTAACCATTAACTTCCATAGTCTTTGTTATTTGTACTATGGAAGTCAATGGTTACAGCTGTCTTCAAAGTAGCTTCTTTTGGTCTTTAACCTCACAAAAGAAACTCAAACGGGTTTGTAACAAATAACAGAAGTGATTAAATAATAACAGAATTTTCATTTATAGGTGAACTATCTTTTTAAGCCAGAACGCTGGGTTATTTCAATATGCATATTGGTGCTATCGCTGATTTTAAGACTGGTGTAAAACATACATGATGGCATTAGAGAAACCTCAGCAGTGACCACACTCTCCAGACCCAGGTTAGAAAGAGCTCCTCGAATCATCCCGCAGGAAAAGGCCAAATACTGCAGACAGCACACAAATACACAACCATCAAGACCGCATTTCTCAAGGTGGAATGAAATATCTGATTTAATATAAATAATATATAGAAATGATACTCACTTTAGGGGCCTCTTCAAGGTATTGCTTTCCACTGGAAAACTGAGTGAGTAGTGCAAACTTATTATCCTGCAAGACGTATGTGCCCTAGAGCAAAGACATTACAGTCATATTAAAATGTGTTGCAAATTAAACAATTATTGAGAAAAAAAAATAACTGCCTTTATTTAATAACACTCAAACGATTTTAAACATTTATGAGTTACACATTGGAAGATATTAAATAATGTTTGACAAAACTAGAAATTGACTTTTATATTAGAAGAAAAAAATGCTTTTTAACAACATTCCTCAGAATATAATTTTGTGTTTAGTAGAAAAAAAAAACTCAGTTTCGAAACCAGTAAACGATGATAGAACCTTCATGTTTGTGTGAACTCTTCATTTACAATACACTAAGCTGCATCATATTTACTAAACGAAATGTGTTCTTACTTCTTTTGGGCTGCTGATTTCAACAATTGTGTTGTTTTGCTTAATTATGTACATTATTTATCTATTATGCATTGTTATGCACTTGAGAACCATTTGTAAAATGATGAAAGTATGTTTTATCATGTAAAGCATTAAACATGACAAAACATAATGTAACAAATGAAAAATAGATAAATATTCCTAAAAAAAACTCTTTGTTAAAGTATCAGCTGATTTCATGTGCAATGTCTTATACAAAACATTTTTCAGATTTTATGCAAAATGACATCTGATGTTTTAAAACATCCAAAACGTGACACAAAGTATTTAACTTTTTTTTTTTTTTTTGGCTGATTCATTCATTTAAAAAAAAAAAAATGTGATACTTCCTTGGTAGTAAACAGAGTTCTTAAACATTCCTTGAATACAGATTGTAAGTTGATCATTTGATTATTATCAAATGATTAATTTTCATTCAATCATTTATTTTTTGTGACAAAATATATATGTGATAGAAGGTTTTATTATTATTTGTGAACTTCATCAAATGAGGTAGTAGTTGTCTCTATTCTTCTTATAAAGATAGTACTGAACATTGAGACCTGATGGTTGGTCCTCAAGTTGTCGATTTGTTTTTTGAAGATAGTGCTCCAGAAGTCTTTACATACGAACTTCATTATGTCCAAGTCATCTTTGAAAGTGGGGCAGTCTTTTGTAAACCTTTTGAAAAACATGAGCAGAGTCATGGCATTGTTAGATTCAAACGGAAGCTTGTGTGCTATCCTCTAATAATAAAACATAACAGTGACTTATTTGCTCACAAAACGGAGTTCTTAAGCCCCCCTTTGATTATTTTCTTATTTGGGTTTTCTTTCTGGCTAGAATAAAAGCTTTTAATTAAAAAAAAAAAAAACATTTTAAGGTCAAAATTATTAGCCCCTTTAAACTATATTTTATATTTTATATATTTTTTTTCGATAGTCTTCAGAACAAACCATCGTTATACAATAATTTGCTTAATTACCCTAATCTGCCTTGTTAACCTAATTAACCCAGTTAAGCCTTTAAAAACCCTTTAAGCTGTATAGAAGTGTCTTGAAAATTATCTAGTTAAATATTATTTACTTTCATCATATCAAAGATAAAATAAAACTATTATGTTTAGAAATGTGTTGAAAAAAAAAGTGTTCCCTCTGTTAAACAGAAATTGGTGGGAAAAATAAACAAGGGAGCTAATAATTCAGACTTCAACTGTGTGTGTGTGTGTGTGTGTGTGTGTGTGTGTGTGTGTGTGTGTGTGTGTGTGTGTGTGTGTATATATGTTATGTGGAAATAAATATTCGTAATATGGGTACAATAATATCTGATCCATCGTCATTGACAGTGACAAATACAGTCATGTAAAAAAATAGAAAAAAGAAAAAACATTTATTCTGACCTCTGTAAAATTTATAAAAGAAAAAGGGGCCATCTTGCTGATAAATAGGTCAAATCTAGTGGTTTTGGAAAATATAAAAAATAAAAAATACTGGCAAAATATAAAGATTTTAAATAAGTGTTTGGGGCTCCACTGTGATCCTTAAATTTATCATCAAATGACTCTTGCTGTATTTATGCCTGAAAAGAATTTTTGGTTCATATTCATTGTTACAGATTCTAAGATATCATGCATAAATGTTAATGTAGAAGTAAAAAAAAAAAAATGAATTGTAACTTAAAGAAAATATATATTTTTTAAGAAGGGTAAAACGAAATTGCGTTGGATAAATTGTTTTAAATATTGGAGAGGAAACAGGTTTATAAACTGTGACTTAAAAGAATTATACTTCAGTGCATGTATAAACAACATGTAAAACTCACAATACCTTTCAATAAGTCCTTGTCCAACTCTGAAGCCCATCAACTCTAGAGTAGAAACACACGTCACTCGCTCCTGAAGAAAGCAAATCCCAGTATGAATGACACAAGTAAACAAGACAACATGACATAATTATTAAAGAAAAGAAAACATGGTACCTTATCAATGTCATCACGGGTCGCCTGCTCTTTGTAAACATGAGCAACAATCTCCATGTGGAGGAACTCAAACAGAGCGTCATCTGCCATACCTGAAAGACAACATCCACAGGAAGATCCTCAAACATCTGTAAAGGCTCACACTGAAGATCAGACATTTTAAAACCAACTGCCTCTTTTATTTCTATCTCTCACTATGTTTACTGAAGAGATGACAGTTGTTGCTTCATAATGTCACAATATTTGAATAAGCATTTAAATGCATACAGGAATAAATATAGATTTAAGTAAACTAAGAGCAGAATAGAAAAGCATAATAAAAACAAAATATTCTTTACACGTATTCGTTTATTCAAATATTCAATTGTGTCTATTCCTGAAAATATGAAGCTGGGTCTTTCCATGCCAAATGCTAGAAGAGCTGTGCAATTGTGTCTTCACTGTAACGTTTTGTTTAAATAATAATTAAATCACTCTTTTCATTTAAAGACTACATTGAAAATAAATAACTGATACGTAATGCTAAAAACTCACAGCACATAGAAATGTGCATCTGTAGAACTGTTGACTTCTGCTCAAACAGATCAGCTAATGCTATTCTGCACATCTATCGATATTTAACGATACTCGCTCAATTAGTTGGCCGTAAATATGATGTGGCGTCAGCGTAAACACTTTTAAAATTACTTACTGCTTGCACGTATCTTCAGGTGTGGAATAAAAATACATTTATAAAGAACCAAACACTTGTCCGTCTTCAGTTCTCCTGCTGTAGCGCCGATTCTGACAACCAATACTGCCACCTGCTGTAGTGGAGGAAAACACGGGAATATCTGACGCTTTCATTTTTCTTCCCTCAAATTACACATTATTTTTATGATGTTTCACAAAATTACCATTTAAATACTTGAGTCTTTACTGTGTTAAACGGATGCAACCTTGACAGGACTTCTTTTAAAAGTATTAAAGAAAATACTACTATCTCTTTAAACAGTAGCATCAATAGGCTACATAACATTTGCTAGTTAACAAAAATATCCTTATAAAATATTAAATGTGGTACATTTAGAAATTTTGTAAATATGTCTAGCTTGTAACTGAAAGCTTTTTCATAAGTGGAAATTAAATTACCCGGTTCTTTCCACCATTAAACTTTGGCCTGGTATCAAGTTTTTAGTGCCTAAGAATTACTTAATTCATTTTCTTTTCGGCTTAGTCCCTTTATTAATCCAGGGTCGCCACAGTGGAATGAACGGCCAACTTATCCAGCACGTTTTGACGCAGCGAATGCCCTTCCAGCCGCAACCCATCTCTGGGAAACCTAATAACTTTATTTTAAAATCCTTCATAAATACTATTCCAGTAATTCTTTATTATCTAAATTTAATATAAACAACTCATCGCAATGCACATTATGTTCTAATCTGGAAAAAAAGTGCATTTATTTTAGAATGCAATTTTGTAGAATAATTTTGGACAGAAATATCTTGGCTTGTCATCTCAGCTTACAAAAAACTTTTTGATTTTTATTAATTCTTTCATTTTCTTTTCGGCTTAGTCCCTTTATTAATATGGGGTAGCCACAGCGGAATGAACCGCCAACTTATCCAGCATATGTTTTTACGTAGCGGATGCTTTTCCAGCTGCAACCCATCACAGGGAAACATTCATACACACTCCTTCACACTTATACACTACGGACAATTTAGCCTACCCCATTCACCTATAGCGCATGTCTTTGGACTGTGGGAGAAACCGGAGCACCTGGAGAAAACCCACGCAAATGCAGGTAGAACATGCAAACTCCACACAGAAACATCAACTGACCCAGCCGAGGCTCAAACCAGCGACCTTCTTGCTGTGAGGCGACAGCATTACCTACTGCGCCACCTCTTTTTTTATTTTGTGACAACCTAATTTTTTTGGAGGGGGAAATTGACGACACATTTTGAATTGTAAGGAGCTGGACAATGTGTTTACATTTTTTACTTTTTGTGGCCTACAAATGTAGGTAGAGTTATTCAGTGTTTGCCTAATTTTAGAACATTTTGTATTGACTTAAAACTTTGTAACACTCTCATAATTCTAGTATAGTTTGAGATATTTATGTTTTATTTTTTCATACGTATTTATATATTTTTATTTTCTTTAAATATTTGTTTTCTTTCATGTATTGTTTTTTTTTCCTTAGCTTTTGTAACGTGTGTTATTAATTGTACAATGAATATGTATCATTTGTATTCAGGTCACACAATATTAGCACAAATCAATGATTTATGTGTTCCCTGTTAGTAATGTTAATTAAAAAAAATTAAATCCTTACAAAAATTTGCCTACTAGATTTATTATATTAGAACGGTAGAAAACGCCTTTTTGCCTCACTGATTACATACCTGATGCTTAAGTACAAATACCTTGCTTAAACCATGGTAAGTGTAGCAAAAATAATGGTGAATTTATGGTTGGTTACCATATTTTTTATTTTAGTGTTTAAATTGTTACTGTTATATTATTTACATGTATGTTTCTATTATTTTTTGTAGTGAAACCATTGCTAATTTTCATACGATTATCTAGCTAGCTAGCTAGCTCATTTGATTGATGGTCAAGAGAGAGAGGGAGACATACAAATAGATAAATTACAAACATAATCCACACATTAATAGTATAAGTTGCTGATATGATTACAAGTGTATTTTACTTTTACTAGCTGTGTTTTGGCTTGACTCTTAAACTAACATTTTGATAGAGTACCCATATTGAACATAAAAATAGATTGTCAGTACCCCATATATGAGAAAGAATTAGTGCCGTTACCCAAAATGTTTGCATGTATAAAAACAGTATGACACCACACATCAGTGAAATATTACTTTATAATAAGAGGCAAGCAGTTATTGAAATTAACAGTTCATACTAAATCACATACGAGTTGAGATTAGATGATTAAATTGATGACGACACACAGCCTTTCATTAAAATCAGCCTTGAGGTGTGTCCCAAATCTGACTGGAAGAAGCTCATACTTTTACACATCTTTAAGCTTACCAGCGACTTTTTCTCAGATAATGCTAGATGATTACGGACAAAAATCTACCTTGGTCCAAACTGTGATTTCAAATCAGTCACTGCTGAATGACTTACCATCTAAAATACACATCAAGTGTTAGTTCGCAAACAACCCAGACTAAATAAATAATAACAATGAGTCTATTGTTGTAGTTCTCCAAAGTGTTACTGATTAAAACATCAGAGCACCAAATACTTTCCTATGAAACTGAAAGAAAAACACGTATTCTGCTGATGTTTCAGATATTGCACTCCTGAAACATCTACATGACAAAAGAGTTCCTATCAAATGCATAACAACCCAAGCACTCAATCATGCTTACACAGCCCATTCTGCACAATAGCGTTCTTGGTTAAAGATGAAATCTCTAAAGAAGGTGGACTAGAGGCGTTTTTGTTGCGTTCTTCCATGGTTTGAGAAATCTCATTTTCAATTGTCGGTTCAGAAGGAGACCTTTTGTGGACTTCCAGGACTGAAACCTTCCAAGGAGCATCTGTTGGTTCGGTTTTGGGCAAGATAAACGTGGGACATGATTCAAGAGTCTGCGTTTGAGCTTCATGCACGGTCAGACTGACTGAGGAGTCTATCTCTGGGGTTTTGACCTTGGGCTGGTGGTTCCTGGTGAAATTGGAGAGCTGCTCCAGTACCTGGATCTGGCGGTCCATCATTCCCAGCATGCTGCAGTGGAAGGCCCTCTGCTCGGCTAGCTGCTCTCCAAGCCGGTGGTTTAGGATAGTCAGTTGCTGGAGGATAAGACTGCTGGTCTCCTCAGAAGTTCCTGCCAGAGTAAAACGGGAACAAAGCAAGTAAGCAGTGTTGGGTAAGTAACTTCAAAAAAGTGATTTATGAATTATTACCTTCAAATTGTACTTAAATTACTTTCTAATTAATTGGTCTGTAAAGTAACTTAATTATTCAATAAGTAATTTAATTTCTTGACTCAATAATACTAAAAATTCTTACTACTTCTAAAAGTTTGATGGCCTTTTAGGTTACTTTTTTTAAATGAACAGGACATTTTAAACATATTTACGTAGAAATTAAATGTATTAAAGAAATAATGACCATATTGGCCAGACTGGTTCAAGCTGATAGAAAGACAACAGTAACTCAAATAACCACTCATTACAACTGAGGTATGCAGAGGATACATCAAACCTTGAGGCGGATGGGGTACAGAAACAGAAGACCACACCGGGTGCCACTCCTGTCAGCTAAGAACAGGAAACTGAGGCTACAATTCGCACAGGCTCACCAAAATTGGACAGTAAAAGATTGGAAAAACGTTGCCTGATCTGATGGGTCTTGACTTCTGCTGCAACATTTGTATGGTAGGGTCAGATTTTGGTGTCAACAACATGAAAGCATGGATCCATCCTGCCTTTTATCAACAGTTCAGGCTGGTGGTGGTGGTGGTGTAATGGTGTGGGGGATATTTTCTTGGCACACTTTGGGCCCATTAGTACCAATTAAGCATCATGTCAACGCCGCGACCAACCTGAGTATTTTTGCTGACCATGTCCATCCCACATTGTATCCATCTTCTGATGGCTACTTCCAGCAGGATAGAGTGCCATGTAATAAAGCGCAAATCATCTCAGACTGGTTTCTTGGACATGACAATAAGTTCACTGTACTCAAACAGCCTCCACAATCACCAGATCATAATCAAATAGAGCACCTTTGGGATGTGGTGGAACAGGAAATTGGCAAATCTGCAGCAACTGCGTGATGCGATCATGTCAATACAGACCAAAATCTTGTTGAATCTATGCCATAAAGGATTTAGGAAATTCTGACAGCTAAATGTCCAACCCGGTACTAATAAGGTGTACCTAATAAAGTGGCCGGTGAGTGACTATTGACATTAATCTGCTACTCAATTCATTGTTTCTTAAGCATGTGTATTCATCTGACAAATCTAAACTTATTCAGTTGAAAAAAAGCTGAGAAATGATGCTGGAAATATATTTGTATAATATATATTATAAGTCTATATATTTACAATTACTCTGCTTCTCTGTATTAATTTATACATAACCTCAATTAATTTATGCAAAGTATTTTAGGCAAGTATATTTAAGTGACTATAATTAAATTACATAAAATTAAAAGTAAATCTTTACTTTACTTTTTCATTAGAAAAGTGAATTACAGAAACTAGTTTATTTGTAATTTGTTACACCCAACAATGCTTGTAAGATGTTTTAAAGAACTAGTTAACATTTAGAATAAACATTTGCTAGTAATTTACTGACTACCGAGCCTTACGAGTTGGTAATTTATTTATTTTCATCAGCTGAAGAATAAAATTATGGGTTTGAGGAAAAACATGCAGGATTGTTCTCTTCATATTGGACTTTGGCACTAGTTTAAAGATACAAGAATTTGTGGTTAAAAAGTCTTATCAGTTTTATTTTTTTAAGAAAATATCTTACCACCCTTTGAAGATACATTGAAACTGCAGTTTGAAAGTTCAAACCACCTCAAAAAAAATCCTGCATGCTTTCCTCACAACTTTGACCTTTTATAGAGGCTTCAAAAACAGCCATCGCTAATGGGTATTCCATATACATCTCACAGTCCTAGTGTGTACGAGCTTTGAGTTCTGTATCTAATTGCTTCGTAAGTCTTCTCAACACTTCTCATAACTA